GTGCTCAGACCGCATCCGCAAGGCAGAGGCCGACAACATGTCCCCTAATGATTCCCACAACCAAGGGAGGAAGCCAGAAATTGGCGCCCGTCGACAAACCTCCAGTAAGGGGCTTCATGTTTTCTGTTATAATGTTGGTGGCCTCGGAGGTGGCATGTGTGACGAGCTTTTACACTTCCTAGATAACTACACTCACTACACAGTGGCTCTCCTGCAAGAAGCGAAATGGTGCCATAAATCTGACTACGAGACGGTGAACTGGTTTTTTTCTCGGGATCGGTGGGTCCAAACAAAAACATGCTGGGGTCATGATATGGGTCCGTGAAAGCATCACAAGCGCCGAAAACACTAAGTATGAGTCAGTCATGACGGGACGTATCATTCGGGCCCGTTTCTCTATAGGCAGCCAATACGTCAGCGTCGTCAGCGCGTACCAGCGTGCGTGGAACCTTAAAGACCGGAAGATAATGCAGACGAGGCATACCTTTTGGCGCGCCTTGGATTCCTGCACTCAAAGACCCAGACCCAAATGAGAGGTTCTCATTGCAGGAGGGGACCTCAATGTCCAGGTCACTGTCGTGCGTAGGTCCGGCCACCAGTAGGCTCTCTCAGGACTATAAGGATCGAGCCCCAGACGAACACGAGTTTCTACAAATCCTACAGGTCAATCATCTAGTGGCCATAAATACGTGGGCACTCAAGGACACAGCTGCCAGCGCCTTCAAGTTCGGCCCTCATCAGGCGCAGTTGGACTACGTCATACTCGGACAAAGGGGTGCGAAAGCACAGGCGCGGCAGGCGCGAACTCTACATGATTGCCCGCTCGGAGGTTGGCGCAGAACATGGGGCTGCCACCTACTCATCATTGCTAGTGTACGCGCCAGGGTGGTGGTACCTGTGCGTAAACCACAAAATCGCGAACCCATTGACAGGGAAGCAATAATTGCCTTCGGGAACGGTTGTGTCGCGTGTTTGATGAGTGCCGAGACATAAAAAGCCTTGGTCAAGTGTCAGGTCAATTTGCTCGCGTTGCAAAAGACGTCTTTCCTCGAAGTGCCGCAGCTGATAAGTACCAGAACCCCATACTCCTTGAAAAGGGTATTACTCAGATGTCAAAACAATGGTTGCGTGTCAAACGCACTACAACCGTCACAGGCCTCAAGGCAATGATGAGCAGGTGGAAAGTGCGGGCTGCGTATATACGGGTGTACAAAGAGCACAAACAAAAGGTGTAATGCCCGGAAAAAGCAGTTCCTCCAGGATGGCTGAGGTGCAACAGGCCTCTCTCCAACATGACCTCAGAGGAGTCTGCAAAATTGTTCGCAGTATCGCCCCAAAGGCTGCAGCTCATAGGTGTTCAACTTCGCAGAGACAGTCTCAAGCAGTCACCCGCTGCGGAGCTGATCCAGAAGCTCATCAGCCGGATTGTCCAGTTAAAGCTCCTGAATAGCATTAGCGTTTGTTACTTAAATTCCATGGTGTGGCTACACACGTTCTCATGCATTGCCTGGTCGGAACATGATGCCTTTGGCACCAAGGCCCAAGCTTGGAGGGATGTACTGCATGCCACAAGGCCTATCCATGTGCACTCAATAGCATCTTGCAGACAAATCCTGACAGGCTGCAGCCATCTTCACCGCCCCGACGCTGGGGAGATGCTTGAGCACTGGGTGGCCGTTGGGCAGCAGGTAATGGCTGGGAAATGGGAGGCCAGGATTGAACAGCGGGGACTCACTGAGATTAGGCATTTCGCTGTCGCTCACATGGCAATAACCCTTGACATCCCACAGCCCACTGAACCCACAAGCTTACAATCGTTAGTGCTAGCATGGCACACTCAGCAACGGGGAATTCAGGCCTTCAGTGATCCACTCAAAGTCCTCGTTATGAGGCTTGCGCGATAAGGAAAGTCACCACCAATTCACGTACAGACATGTTTACAAGTACCGGTTTTTGATGGGTACTCACTGCAGTGCTCACATGTCAGATATGACGTCCTTTCTGTAATTCTTTATGCTGGGCCCGCACCTAGTGCGGGACACTGCACTACAAGACTATTCAAAGCAGGCGATCGGTGTTTTGCTCAATGGAGCACGGACAATGCCAGGCCTGTCAGACTTCTTAACAGAGATGTCCAGCATGAGAATCAACCATCCCAACAGGGCTACATTCTCATTCTGTGCTGTCAAGCACAGTGAGGCGGGGCACGCGGGTTTTCCAGGGGATCAGCAAAGCACGCCGCTTGAACTCGAGGCAAAAATTGGCTGATAAAAGTTCCATACCAACTATGCAACCTGTGAGACAGGTACAAAATGTGTCAATTTTGGCCACTGCCTCTGAACATTGAGTAAGTGCGCCTTTGAGAAAATGTGTAAAAGGTCGACTGGGTGGTTC